TTGTAAAAACAATATTCATGTAGTTTTATAATTTTTCCAAGGAAACGTTTTTTTTTTGTTTGTTTGCAAAGTTTACTTGTATGTGTTTATAACCATCACCAATTAGTCCTAATTATTAAAGATCAAACGTCGTAATCAAAATGATGATTGGTATTGAATATGATCATCGGTCATGCATGACGTATCCCAAATAACTTCTTTAATGTTGGTTTGATTTTATCAAAACCAAAATTATAGAATCAAATATTAAATTATCTATCGAATGTATACCCTCAACGCTCACTAAAACATATATACATGTCCTGAGTGACTTTTTATGTCCTGTCTGCACTCAGGAGGTCCTGAGCGGTTTTTAGACGTACTGTTAATTTATAGGCATATATTTGAAGCTGTTCTTAATTATGTACATTATCTATAGGTATACATGTATCAGACAAAAAGACTTTCCAATGAACTTAGTTCTAGTTATCTTCGTTCCTAGTCACAGGCACTTGTCTCAGATAAAAAATGTCCTATATACTTTTAATGTTATATTAAGCAAGGACTTTCTATACTAAGTTAGTATAGAAAGTCCCTGTATTAAGGTATATAGGAAACAAAATTCTGAGACAAGTGCCTGTGGTCCTAGTGTGAAATAAATCCACTGGGAATTGGCCTTTTTAAACACATCTATATATACGTTTTCTCAAGGGTTTGTACATGTAAAGTGAAATTATGTTTACTCAATGCGTAGTTACATAAGTTTATTTGCTCCTTTTATCTTCTTTATTTTATATAAAAAAAATTTTTTTTTAAATTTTAACATTTTTTTCTTCGAAAGAATTGTAGTGTTGCAATAGGGAATGGACACAGATACTTAACTACATTTAACGAAAAAAAGTTTGTGTAATGTCATCAATCTGTATTACACATAGACAGGATGTTCTCTAGAAAACTATGATATTTCTAATACATTATACACACCCCAGGGTACACGCACTGTCGTAATGGAAAATTACTGCATGCTTTAATTACCTGTAATCAGCCATGCAACAAATCAGTTGACTGACCATGTCATTACAGTTTAAAAAGTTTTTCCTCAGATCAAAACGGAATATTCATTTTAACTTTAAAATTTAAAACTTTAAAAAGTATACTTTGATATAATTATGACGTAAAAGAATTTTACAATTTAATAATCGGATTTTTCCAAAGATTAAGATACAATTATATTTATTATTCTGGGACTGACAGATATATCACAGGCACTTGTCTCAGAATTTTTTTCCTATATACTTTTATTAAAGTATATAGGATTTTTTTTTCTGAGACAAGTGCATGTGAGATATATACATGCATAAGTCCCAGGCATATATAATCGTAAATCAAAATGATTTACATAATTACTGGGAAATAATATAATGTTTCAGTTATGTTGATGTCACAAATACACATGAATTATTTGATGATGCATGCTGGAATTTCTTATCTAACTGCATGACGGTGACCACAGACATATATATATATATATCCATTTACTGATTCTATAATTTCTTGAGAAAAAAAATCAGGAGGGAAGTCAGAGGGAAGTGAAACAAACATTTTAAGCTTTCATTAAAAATTGTTGGGAAAACAATAAAATACGACACTGAGTTTTGAAAAAAAAAGTTTATGATTGGTCTTAATTTTTTTTTTCTAATAAAGATAGAAACAATTTTTTGTCCCAAGAAAAAAAAACAATGCCCCCTTTTTAGCCAAACCGACACACGCTGATGAATGAAGAATTCCAAGTAGGGTCACAAGGTCACATTTTAAAACTTTTTCAGTCGCCCAGTCTCAAAAAAGCAATTTTGACTGGCATTGTTTTTAGTCGAATTATGTTTTTGCAGGTCAGGTTGCAAAGTGGCAGGTCGGATTTGACATTGTCAAGTTGACAACGGTCCTAAAAAATATCCGAAAAAACGTTGAATCAAACGATTTGAACCTACGCAGTTTTATATTATAAGACTGACACACACCAGTGTGCTAACTGTGCTGGGTGAGGTGCTGTAACTTGATATACATGTATCATTAAGTTACAGTACTGTAAGGATTTGCCTGCCTTTTTACAGGGACTTTCTATACTAACTGTTAGTATAGACTGCCCCTGGCTTGAAAGTATGGTTCTCTGCTCATCAACGGGTGCGTGATAAGCAAATCAAATATCTTGTAGCAGTAAAATACCTCCCGGGGGGGGGGGGGGGGGAGGGGCACTTCAATACTTCATTGATAGGGGGTGTCGCTGGGGTTCTGTTACCCCACCCTATTCATATAATTTAGATCTTAAAAATGTATACCTTTTCATATATTGCGTGGGTAAAATTGTAACCTTTTCCCATATTGGTTGGTTTTCGTGGGGTGTGTTGGAAAAGTGGAATATTTAAGGCTAAGATTCTGTATGTAATGTTAACTTACGGCTAGACTTTCGGCTGTGAAAAAATGACAGGGCTTTTCATATACAAGTAATTGGAACTTTATCGACCTTATCATATATTTCTGATAGTTTTCCCCACCTATTCCCATATTTTCAAGCTGGAAAAAGTGACCTATTCCAGCGGCACGTCCTATCACCTTGTATATAGGAAGTGCCCCCCCCCCCCCCCGAGTAAAATACACAAATGTATAATACCTTAATTCAGGAGCACAGTCTGTCTTTACCGTAAATAACTTCGAGAATAATATTTAAGTTTACTTTGCTAATCGATGTTCCTGTAATTCAGATTTAAATTTATTTGTGAGACCCCCGTCACTATTTATAATTCACTCAAAGAAAGGGGTTCTCCGTTACTGGGAAAATACAAGGACGTATTGTGTTAGTTAATCTTATCTAATTCAGGATCAATTTATCGGTTACACTCCCCTATCACCAGTGATTCTTTGTGAACTGACATTCTGAAAAAGGTATACTGTTGACTATCAATTTGCATGATTAGTTACAGATGTCGACTCGGACTACTGCAAAAGACAATAATTCAGTTCACTGATTTAGATTGAATAGTGGTTCGGTTAATCCCCTCTTCCCCAAACAAGTAAGAATTAGGTTACATCTTTTGGTAGTCCAAATAATTATGACGACTAGCAAGGCTATTTTATTTTTTTATGCCCCCGCCGTAGCGGTGGGGGCATTAAGTTTTACCCTTGTCCGTCTGTACGTACATACGTCCGTACGTCCCAAAATTGGTTTCCGTTCTCTAACTTGAGTCTGCCTCAACCAAATGTAAAAGTAAAAACTTATACACAATGCTTATTACCACAAAACACAGATCAAGTTTGAATTTTGGTGGCGTCACTTTAACTGTTCTAGAGTTATGCCCCTTTATAAATGGAAAAATTGCAAAATTTTTAGTTTCCGTTCTCTAACTTAAGTTTGCCTCAACCAAATGTTATAAAACTTATACACAATGCTTATTACCACAAGACACAGATCAAGTTTGAATTTTGGTGGCGTCATTTTAACTGTTGTAGAGTTATGCCCCTTTATAAATGGAAAAATTGCAAAATTTTTATTTTCTTCTTAATATCAAGTAATTTTTAAAATTGGAATTATCTTCCTTTGTCAATTATTATAGTAGAATCAACTACAATCAATGCTTTATACAATGCAATGTTTAATTTTGACTTCCACTGATAAAACACAGATCAAGTTGAATTTGGGTAGTGTCACTTTAACCATTATTGAGTTATGCCCCTTTATAAATTGAAAGATTGCAAATTTTTAGTTTCCATTCTGTAACTTAAGTTTGCCCCAACCAAACATTATGAAACCTATACCCAATATTCATTACCACAAAACTAAGATCAAGTACAAATTTTTTGTTTCCGTTTTCTAACTTTAGTTTGCCTCAACCAAATGTAATGAAACTTATACACAATGCTTATTACTACATAATACAGATTAAGTACGAAATTTGGTGGCGACACTTTTACCATTCTTGAGTAATGTCCCTTTAAAAACATAAAAAATGCTGAATTTTTCGTTTCTGTTCTCTACTTAAGTTAGCCTCAACCAAATGTTATGAGACTTACACACAATGCTTATTTCCACAAAACTCAGATCAAGTTCAAATTTGGGTAGCGTCACTTTTACCGTTCTTCAGTTATGTCCCTTTATAATTTTTCTATCTATCTACCTTCATATTTCCGCACTCAGTCACAACTTTGACTATTACGTGCCCAGAATAAAGTTAAAATAGCCTTGCAAGACGTCATAATTATTTGGACTAATCTTTTGGCAAATATGGTCGTACCACAGGGGTTTGTTACAATTTGCTGGGTTTTCTATCCTTACGAACCCTGAAAAACTTACCAGGCCAGGTGATAAAAAATCTGTCTCCCCTTTTTATCCCACCAGAAAATCAAAAGGTTGTCTCCTTACACCTACATGACAAAAACATATACAAATATGGTATCATTGCCAATGTGACGGCTCTTCAACAGAAACTAAAAAAGTAGAAGTTAACAACTATATAGGTCACTGTACAGATTTCAACAATGGGCTAAAAAGCCAAACTGCGTAATAAGCTACAAAAGGCTAAAATAGATAGACAATATCTGAAAAGGGTAGAAATGTTCAGAATGTTGAAAAAAAAATCTACTGTCCATTTGCATCAAAACTGGCAGCTGACTCATAGGAGTTGTTGCCTTAAATACAGATTTTAACCATTTATTTTTTCTTCATATTTCTTGAATTTGCCTTTTTATCTCGAAAACTGTAATAATTAAAGAGAAACTTAAATCTTATTAAAAAGTTATTGCTTTTCAATGATGATTTTGATCCAGTTTTTGCAAAAACTTGGAAACTTTAAATCTTGGGTAAACTCCTTATGTTATACTGCCTGGTCTCGTGGTAGCGTGTTCACCTCACATGCAGAAGGTTGTTTATTTTGAACACAACCGGGTAAAACCAAAGACTTTAAAGTTGGTATTTGCTGCTTCCCCCCTATGCACGCAGTATTATTAAGAAATAAGAGCAAACACTGGTTTGTTCAGAGTCAGAATAATGTGTCAAGGTAAGGTGACATGTCTCTCTGAGAACTAGTGTAAGAGATAAATTGTCTGGTCAGACAAATATAACTAGTATAAAAAGTCCATGGATACAGAATTTACTAATATATTTAGTCCGATGTCAGTAATTTATGTCCCCAGACTAATTTTCCTAGTCCATGACATCACTATTCCTAGGTAAAAATGTCCAGTTTTTCTAATACTGTATGCAACATGTCAAGTATATTTGGTGTATGAAAATTTTTAAGGATGTACATGTTAGTCTGGCATGTTTTATTCGACCTTGACCTCATTTTTATGGTTCATTGCTCAATGTTATTTTATTGTTTTTTGGTCAGTTTTTCTATTTTCTTATTTTCAAATTAGCAATAGGTCAACTATATTTGGTGTATGGAATGATTGTAAGGTGCATATGTCTGACTGAGAAGTTTCATCTTACCTTGACTTTATTTTCATAGTACATTGGACAATGTTTAGTTTTTGTGGTTTTTTTCGGATACTGTAAGCAAAAACATGAATAAGGCCCCTATATTTGGTGAATGGAATGATTGTGAGATGCACATGTCTGTCTGGCATGTTTTATATGACCTTGACCTCATTTTCATGGTTCATTGGTCAATGAAAAGTTTGCATTGTTTTGTCAGTTTATCATATGCTTTAAGCAACAAGTAAATTATATTTGGCGGATGTAACGATTGTAAGGTGTTCATGTCTGTCTGGCAGATTCATATAACCATGATCGCATTTTATGGTTCTTTGGTCAATGCTAAGTTTTCTTGGTTTTTTATACGACCGCAAAAAATTGGTATGACGTTGGCGTTGTCGTGGTCCGAAGACATATTGGTTTTCGCACTCTAAATTTAGTTTAAGTGAATGGATCTCTATGAAATTTTACCATAAGGACTGATTTTGGGGGTTATGGTACCAACAGTTAAGGGAAAAGGGACCAAAAATAAGCATTTTTGTAACTTCCAGACATAACTTGTGTGTTAGTGTATGGATCTCTCTGACATTGTACCACAAGGTTCCATATCACACAGGGAATGCTTGGATTGATTTTGGGGGTAATTGCCTCAAAATATAAGGAATTAGGGGCCAAAAAAGGGGCAAAAAACAAGCATTTTTCTAGTTTCATGACAATAACTTGTGTGTAAGTGTATGGATCTTTCTGAAATTGTATTACAAGGTTTCATATCACAAAGGGAATGCTGGAATTGAGTTTGGGGGTAATTGCCCAAAATGTTTAGGAATAAGGGGCCAAAAAGGGGCCAAAAATAAGCATTTTTCTAGTTTCCAGACAATAACTTGTGTTCAAGTCTAAGGATCTCTCTGAAATTGTACTGCAAGGTACCATACCACAAAGGGAAGGCTGGGATTGATTTTGGGGGCAATTGCTTTAAAATTGTAGGAATAAGGGGCCAAAGAAGGGGCAAAAAACAAGAATTCTTCTAGTTTCATGACAATAACTTGTGTGTAAGTGTATGGATCTTTCTGAAATTGTACTACAAGGTTCCATATCACAAAGGGAAAGCTGGGTTTGAGTTTGGGGGTAATTGCCCTAAACGTTTAGGAATTTGGGGCCAAAAAAACAAGCATTTTTCTAGTTTCCAGACAATAACTTGTGTATAAGTGTATGGATCTTTCTGAAATTGTACTGCAAGGTACCATACCACAAAGGGAAGGCTGGGATTGAGTTTGGGGTGATGAATCATAAGGGGGTTCAAAAAATTTTTGGGGGGGGGGATTTTTTTTCCTTTTTTTTTCTTTAAAATTTTCCATTTTAAATTGGTTATTTCTGATTTATATATAAAAGCAAATAATAATGATATGGTTTGAATAGGTAAATTAAAATTTTTAAGTTCTTAGACCACATTCATTCTGTGTCAGAAACCTATGCTGTGTCAAATATTTAATCACAATCCAAATTCAGAGCTGTATCAAGCTTGAATGTTGTGTCCATACTTGCCCCAACTGTTCAGGGTTCGACCTCTGCGGTCGTATCAAGCTGCGCCCAGCGGAGCATTTTATTCATTTTATCAGATATTATAAGCATATGTCTACTTGTTGGTGTATGGAATGACTGCAAGGTGTCATATAAAAATAAGAAGATGTCTGTCTGCCAAGTTTAATATTACTGAGACCTTATTTTCATAGAATATTGATAATATCAAGCAAAAATGATGAGCAAGACAAGATACAAATGATCCAAAATTGTCAGTTGCCTACTCATTATGTAATAGTAGTTATTGTCATCAAATGATAATGTTTACCCTTTTATGTGTAGGGCAAGAACATTAAAGATAAAGGGAAACTATAAACAAAAGAAATTATCAACAAAAATAGATTTACAGACGTCAACAAAGCCTAAATGGTAAGTCCACTTCTATAAAAGTTATTGCCCTTGAATAATGATTATTATGAAAATAAGATGTGGTATGATAAATGAGAAAACTATCCACCAGAGTTCAATTAAGTGGATGTAAGCAATGCAATTACTTATTAGAGGCCAATGATGACCTGTAAATAATGACAGGCAAAATATGGCAGGGTTGATATAAAAATAAGAAGCGGTACGATTGCCAATGAGACTTTTCTCCAATAGAGATCAAATGACATTAAATTTAACAAAATTAGTTCACTGTACAGCCTTCGACAATGAGCAAACCCTATACTGCATAGTAATCCATAAAAGGCCATGAAATAACAAATGTAAAACAATTCAATAAGGGCATGGTGTCTATCCATGCTAAACATGCTTGGGGGAAACACCACAAAGGTGAAAGCCAAGTGCCTGATTTTTGCACAAAACAATAAACAAAAAACAAATATGATATATAGCAACAATTGACAACCACTGAATAATAGACCCCTGACTTGGGACAGACACTTACAAAATGTGGCATGGTTTAACATGTTTGCTGGCGCCAAATCCTCTAATTAAGGACAGTGGTGTAAGTGTCAGTTCAATATAAAAACTATAAAATCAGTTGAAAAGGGTTTTTTTCTGCTCTTGGGTCAGGTTATTTTGATACATTCCCGTTTTCATTCTCAATTTTATTAACTCATTAGAATGCAACAAAGCAGAAAAACAGCTACCAAAAACACAGACCGGATGTGGCTGGAAATTTATTCTTTCCCTTTAACAAAAAAGACTCAACATACAGATCTATTAGTACTCGCAGTTACTGACAGCTAATTCAAAGCAAATATCAACTAATAAAATAAACATTTAGTGAGCACCCAACCCACCCCTAACCTGGGACAGTGGTTTTAATAACAGCACAACATTTGAACAAACTGTAAACATTTGTTGCAATTGGCTTAACTCAAAAGACTGCAACAAGGCACAAAAAACAACTAATATGAAAACCATAGACACAAAGCACTGAAATAAGAGTTCTTACAATTTTAAATATTCAAATGAAATTTTTATCAAAATGTACATAAACAAGATAAAATAGCCATTTTATTGCTGTATTTCTCTTCATTTATAATTTTTGAGTTTTGTGTATTTGTAGGTCAGACATCTTGGTTTTCATGATCATCATTCAACAGGTCAATACTGAACAGCAAACTTAAAGTTGATATTTTTCTACATAGTGTGACTTTTTTATTAATTTGAAATGGAATGTGGTTTTTTTTCCTACATAAGAAAGAGGAAATTTCAACATAATGACTATAAACAAAAAGGAGTCATATCATCATGATCATAGATGCTCAAGAACTTAATCATGTAAATGCAACAACGTAATTATCAATTGAAAGAAGGGAGGAATGAAAAAATATATAAGTATTTTGTTGTCCAAATGAACTTGCTTTGTCCACTCATTTAAATCGCTCCATCCAATAAAGATGTACGGAGGAAGATTTTTGAAGAACAGATTGCAAAAATGTTTTGTCTAAGAATTGTAGGAACATTCTAGTGGATGAAATAATTTATTTACTTGACTCTTATATAGTGGACTGAATAATTGTTCATAGCAAGCTGAAACAAGAAAACTAAAACTTAACAGGAAAAGTGTTTATTTTATAAATTTACAAATATAAATGTAATATTATGAACACCACAAAGGAATAAGATTCAAATCGTTTGCATATTCATGTATTGCAATGGAACTATAACAAAGAAAACTTTACCTCATGAAAAGAGTAAACTATTAACTGTACTTTGTCAATTTATTCAGTCAGAATATGAAATATTTTTTTCAGTTCTATTTTTCATAATAAAACAAAGAAGACAAAGATTTCAAATCAATATTTTTTTCTTTTATTAAGACGTCATAATTTTATTTCAGTTAAAGGATTTTATTTTTTGACTTTAAATATTATTATATTTCCAAAATAATAATAATCTTTATTGTCATATAAACAAATTAAAAACATGTTTGTGACAAAATGAAAAAAACCAAAATACACTCATATATATATTATAAACTTTTTACTACCAAACAGAATTCATTGTAACATACACATTACTGTATATTTATAATTTGAATTCCATAGGATTTTATTTTGTCCCATGGGATATTGAAAATCCCATGGGATAATTATAGTCCCATGGGATTTTTTTTGTCCCATGGGACAACAAATATCCCATGGGACTACAATTATCCCATGGGATCCAAAAAAATCCTATGGGATTTAACTAAAATCCCATGGGATAATGGTCAATCCCATGGGATTTGCCCTATCCCATGGGATATTGAAAATCCCATGTTTTTCTAAATCAAATTACAAAATATATATAATAATAACAGCAGAAAAGCAATGAAATTATTGAATCCCATGTAATTCCGCACATTTTGGTTATTTACACGACACTGTAGGTCTAAGGAGAGGCGGCGGCGGATTTGCAAATGAGTGTTTTGCAAATTAAAAGTGTCCAGTGTTGAAAGTTCACAATTCAAAATGGGATTAGCATTCAATCATTTTGCCATTCGGGCCTATTCGTGATGACTTTTACTCCTTTGGGAAGGCTATATGGTGACCTATACTAGAGAGTGTGCACGGGTTGGTTACGGAAAAGAGAATAATGGGCAAAAAATATAAAGAATAGAGAAAATGGACCAAAAATTAAACAAAAGAGAATAATGCGGTGTTAGAATATAAAGAATAGAGAATAATTGGCAAAAAGTATAATGATTAGAGAAAAATGACTTAAAACATTAAAAAAAAAAACCCAATCCAGACCATTATAATAGTTGCCTATACCAACGTTTTCTGTCTCCAGTAGATTGTTATTGGTAACCATACGTTTTCTCTTTATTTTTATTACTATCAATTAAGACGTGAGCTTCAAAAATTTGCTAGCATATGGTTACTTATCTTCTTTTGCTCCTGGTGACAAAATGGAAAAATTTTATTAATTTATTGCGTCCAAAGCACTTTTCTGGTTTAATCTTTATCAGGAGGGTTAGGAGGGGGACAAACAACAGTACATTTCACCTGTTGGTACTGTAGCGTCACTCCTCTTTCATTTTCTTAAGCCTGTTTTTTTTTTTATTTACACCAGGTTAGACTTTTCATTTTCAAAACCTGTCTATCCCCCACTACTCCCCCGTGCAAAATAATATAATTTTATTAATGGTGGCCCTTTATGATTAACAATAATTGAAGAAAAAAAAATAAATATGCATACAGCTACCGACGACAACAACAGAATTAAAGGCTCCTGACTTCAAACAGACCAATATATTCGAGTGATATTCCCCAACTCATACCTGGGTGGTGTAAAAATTAGTTCATAAGAACAGAGTTGTCTTTCACATGAACCACGTAAAACATTGGTTAATAGTTACTTCGGTATAAATGATTGAGAAATTAAGAAGGTAAAAAAAAGCAAATATTAAAATTAAGACAGTATTCATACAATAACTACAACTTGGATACAGTCACTTTGTTCAGTTAAGAGTTTGATTTTGACAAATAGATTTCCGATAATTGTTCTGCATAAAACCCTATGGGAAAGCACATTGACATAGTTTTCTAAACGTTTTTTGGAACCCAATGACATTGCATAGTGTTGCAAACTATAATGTGAAGATGTGCATGAAATTGCGGAGGTTATGGGAATTTCGGTCTGGTCAAACCAAAGTTTTTAAAATTGTTTTTTGCTGCTTCTCTACAAGCACGCGGCATTAATAAATTAAAGCAGAGACTTGTCGGCTCGGAGTCAAAATATTGAATCCGCGTATGATAACATGTCTTCCTGCGAACTATAACATCGCGAAGTAGCACGTCACGCTCAGTGTGTCGGTATAATCAACAGCAGGGTTAATAATTCATATTACAATAACATGTTCTCGTCCTGAATATGCATTTAATTTGCCACTGGACATTAAAAAGCCATCGTTCATTACCATCTCATGCACAACCTTGCATAAAAGAGTGATTTTGCGGTCGTATAATGGTATGACGTTTGTCGTCGTTTTCCGAAGACATTTGGTTTCCAAACAATAACTGGAGTATACATGTAAGTGTATGGATCTTTATGAAATTGTACCACAAAGTTTCATACTACATAAGGAAGGTTGGAATGGATTTGAGGGTTTTTGTCCCAACTTTGTAGGAATTAAGGGGGAAAATACCATTTTTCTTGTTTCAGGACAATAACTTAATTATAAGTGTATGGATCTCTATGAATTTGTATTTCAAGGTTCCATACTTCATAAGGAATGTTGAGACTGATTTTGGGGGTTATGGTCCAAAACGTTCAAGAATTACGGACCAAAACATCGGTAAAAAAAAACTAGGAGTTTCTGGTTTCCGGACAATAACTTCAGTATAAGTCTAAAATGAATCGTTTTAGGAAAAAGGGTTTAAAAACAATACTTTTCTTATACTTTACATACATTGCTCATATCTTGACCAATTCAATGGGGTTTAATTCATAGTCTTGAACTCTTGAGTTTTTTTATATGCAGAATCTAACCGTGTATTTATAGGTTCTTATTTTGGGGTCCGTTTTCAATTTGGTCCACATGAAGGTCCAAAGGGTCCAAAATTAAACTTTGCTTGATTTTAACAAATAAAATAGACTATTATGGTTCTATGCTTTGGTGAATCTAACGGTGTATTTAGATTTTTGATTTTGGGCCCGGTTTTCAAATTGGTCCACATTAAGGTCCAAAGCGTTCATAATCAATTTTTAAATTAGTTTGATTTTAACAAAAGTTGAAATCAAGGGGTCTTTTGATTACTTAATCTACGCATGTATGTTGGATATTGGATCATGATAGGTAAATATCCAATTTCATTTTTTACAGCGGATGACCGTGAGGGCATTCCGGTGTTATGTTGCCACAGACATTTCTACCCACATGACTTGCGTTTTTGACTGACAACCGAACGTATTTCGTATAATTACGCGGATATCATGGAGTGCAAAATAACACTCCTTATCGCTTGTTATATACTAATTTCATCAACAAATATTCATGAAAATAATTTTAAGAACATAGATAAATGAAAATGTTTTGTCGTGAGAAATATATTTATCATACTTGTAGAAAATAATGATATAATTGTACACCTTGATAAAACTTATTTGTACATATATTTATTCATTAAATTTGAAGAATTGGCCTTTTCAGAATCTAAAGAACCATGGGTAATCTCATTGTTTGTACACCAAAAAGAAAATAAATTTACGTCATTGGTTCAATTTCCTTTGATTAGGACGTTTTAAACCAATCATAACGTTTTGGTGTACGCTTTTGAAAATATTACCCAGAATGCATTAGATTCTGAAATGGCGAATTGTCTTAGCCGTGTGATATGACTTTCGTTATCAACTGTTTCCGGTATATATCAACTGCTTCCGGTTTATATCGACTGCTTCCGGTTATTATCGCATGCTTTTCTTAAATGTTATCGCAAAGCATTTCGACGTCATTCTGTAAATTCCGGAAAATAAAACCTCAGTGGTACATTTTAGTGAAAAACATAACTAAGTAGAATAAAAGAACGAATATTTAGAAACAGGAACATTTTTATATTAAAAAAATGAAAAACAAATAATACAATAAATGAATTTTATAAAGTTTTAAAAAGGTTTTCTTGTCTGTATGGCTTCTGCTGAAGTATATGATAAAAAGAACATAACATGTCATTTTTCATATCAGACTCCTTATAAGCCTATGGTCAAAATCATCCCTCGAGCCTGTCGGCTCTCGGACTGATATCATGACCTATTGCTGATAAGGGGTCTGATATGAAAAATGCCATGTTATAATCTATATTTATCATATACTTAGAGCAAATAACATATAGTTTTTACAGTATGATAATAGCATTAAATTTACGTGAATTCCATATTTTTCCGAAATGTTGTTTAGCGGGCTGATATGAAAAATTTATCACATGCTTCAACTATTATCACATGGCAAATTCCGGAAAATACACCTGAATGGTACATTTTTCAGTGAAAAACATTACAATTAAAGTCGGGTACTAAACAATTATTACGATACAATATAATTATAACATATTATGTAAAATGCAAAAAAAATTTAATAAAAATGATACAATAAATGCATTTTTAAAAGTTTCCAGCATAATTTAGAAAGTTACTTTACAAATGTTAACTTTTCCAAACAGTGTTCATTATGTTTTGTTGTATATTTATCGTCAATATAAAAATATATCATGCTGTTGTTCTTTTCCTCTGTTGATGCATATGATACATTGATGATAGAAAGATTTCATATCGGATGTACTACATTTGGCGTCCGTAAACTTTTCACTTTTTGAACTTCTACGTGAGAACCACTAAAAAGTATCAATATATTAAACTATTATTTTCCCCATTGTTGAAGCATATGATAAAAAGATCATAACATGGCATATCAGATGTATAATCAGCCCTCGGTCAATATCAGCCCTCGCGCCTTCGGCTCTTGGGCTGATATTGAACCTTGGGCTTATAATACATCTGATATGAAAAATGCCATGTAATAATCTGATAATATCAATAACAAATCAAGAATACCGAAAATTTGTGTTAACGTATGCGGAAGAATATCTTAGGAACGTTTTGCAACAAACGTGGGAAAATATGAATGCCTACTCAAATCCGATCTATTAGAAAAACTAATTATTACAGAAGAGTGTCCACCATGCACTTACACTGCACTATCATTAGAATAGTAGAATAGAATGATATACAAATGGATGAAAATTATATATAACTGTTTTACAAATATTGATATAATATATAACACCAAACCAGAGTATACAGATAACAA